CAATGAGACCTTCGATGAACCCGCGCCGAGATTGCATCGATATTCTTCCTCCGGATTTTCCTCTTTCTTGCCAGCATTTTTCCTTTTCGTTCGTTCGTTCTCTGCTGACAAGAGACGCTGTTGTTAATTTCCGTTCGGTTGTCAATTCAATATGGTCGGCTTTGTACAAATGAAAGACGACGTATTTTAATATCTCTATCGTTCATAGCATTGCCAAAATAATTTTCCTCCTGCGGCCAAGACACTCGGCGTTAACTCGACTGCAGCAGTTTATCAGACACATACGCAGAGACGTGCTACGTTTTTCCGGTCACGATCGCGCGATCACTCCTCTACATCGGTTCTTTTTCCCGCCGTTGCGAAAACACGCGCATCACATTAACCATTTCACTTTATATAGTTCCCTTGCGCTCGCCAGGTACAGCCAGATCGAAGAGCGTACAATTATCGCAGGCAAGGCTCGTAAAATGCGTACCGAACGTGAACACACCATATAAACACCGTATCGACGAGTAAGCTGAAAGTATTCGACAGACGTTTGTTACTCTTCTGGATGAGTACTACCGGTTAATAAAGTTGGCAAGTGGATCTTTCTCGCGAGATATCGATGATACGTGAAAACACTATCAGCTCGTTCTCGAGCGTAATTCACCTGCAGATTAAAACCGAGACTTGATCGGGGCTCGTTACGTATCGTCATTCGTTGCACGTCGTCTTCCATTCGCCTAAGTAATCCCACACGTAGTCACTTCCATTATGACCGAAATTTCCACCAGCGCTAGGCGATTGTGTATGCACGTTGATCGAGTTAGCCCTGATATATTTACTGCAAGCAGCCGGAAACTGGGTTGCTGATTGAGTGCATAATGCAAGAGCCAAAAGCTGCGTAAACTGCTCGGTTATATGATCGTCCGAAAATTGTTATTATCGTTTGCGGATAGTTCGTGATACAGGACTCCTCCCCCCGCGCCAATTTCAACGCCGATCCGACACGTTCGCCGCGAATGAACGGAATATTTCGATGCCGATGCGGCGAGTTACCGACGCGCCCTGAATTATTCCGGCGATTTCCTAGCCGCTCCATTGTCTTAGAACTTTCGAACGAGCGGGGAATTGACCGAGCGCGCCGCGGCCGCAGAGCTAGAAAATTCATTTAAATCAACTTTCGTCAAACTTCTTCGCATCGCCCGACTAAACCAAAATGCATTAAACATCGACGCGTCTATATTCTTGTTTCACGCGGATTTCTACTTCCTCCTTTTTCGTTTGTCGATTTTAGTTTGAAAATTAAACGATCGAGCAACTAATAATAATATAAGTACGTTGAGTCCGTCCGTATATTATAATAATATAAGTACGTTCGGCCAGGATGGCTCGAATTTTCAGCCTTTTTTTTCAACAATGGTATACTCTTGTTCGGTTCGAAAAATTAGGTAATTTATGTATAATGTATATGATTGAATAATTTTGGAAACTTTGAAGTATAATTTATCAACATTTTACTAAAACGATTTTTTCAGAGCACAGTGCGTTAATATAGCGTTCGCAGGATACGGTTCTTATCATTGAAAAAAAAAAAAAAAATAACTGATTTATCGAGTTAGATGGCCCAATTTTTTAGGGAAAAATTGATCCATCGTGATCCATTCATTATAATATTTTCCCAGAGAAATTCCTCTAACAAGAGGATTCTGGACAAATAAAGAATCGTCGAGTTCAAAGCGGCAAAAATGGGCATCAAAAGTTTTTAGAATTCCGGCTCCTTTGAACGAGCATTCAAATAAAACTTCAGAATCCTTAAGAAGCTTAAGTCACGTCGGGAAAATTTCGAAAGTACGACTCGCAGTAACTGGATATATTTTCTACTACCTGACCTAACCTATACATTTTCTGCCCAACTTAAACCTAAACCTATTCTCACGTTTACAAATGTTATACATGTATTAACTTAAACATTTATTATTACACATTTTATTATTATTATTATACATTTTCTACCCAACTTAAACCTAACTTATTTTCACATATATACTATTTGTGAAAGTGAAAATAGGTTAGGTTTACATTAGATAGAGAATATATATGTGTGTGTGTGTGTGTGTGTATGTTGATTCCACAGAAAATTGGAAAAACAATCGTAGATTTAGAAATCGAACGAAAGAAACGGCATTTTATGCGAAAGCGCATCTCTCACTCGGATTCTCCGAATGTAAATATTTCTTTTCAGATAATGTAATAATGTTCTTTAAAAAAAAGAAAAAAAAAATGGATCCCCGACTTACTCTACGTTGCTCGATTATTCCCTCTTTCTCTGTCTCTGGGAGAGTAAGCGAACGCCAAAGTGTTCGCCGAGATTTCACGGAAGGTATTGACGCAAAAAACGGCAAAAAAAAAAAACAAAACTGAGACATTCTGACACGTCGCTACTTATTAACGTCACGTTCCAGTTGCTGGTGCTCCGCCGCTCACGTAAGCGAAGCCCTCGAGCCACCTGCACAATATCTATCAATACGTTCTTTTCCCGAACATCGCCTGTGGGACAATAAAGCGTTTAATGAACTGCCGGCGGGATCGCGTATATCGAGCGTCGACAAGATGCCTTCGTTCTGCGCAACCATCCCATCTCGAGTGCGTCAATCGAACCGACGCTATCGATGCATTGAATATTGCACCTTTTCCAAGGTTTTCGACTTGCTCTGGCTCTGTCTTCGCCACACCGATCATTGTTGCGATACGTTCTTTGAGGGGGGAGGGATGTTACCCTCGCGACGTCTGATCTTCGATGAAAACGACGTTCAGCCATTTTCGACACGCTGGAATTTACGAACCAGGCGAAGGATGGAGTAACAACGAGATACGATTGCGTACTATCTGTTTTACAACTGCCACGAACAGGCAGTTCGAGTGTTTAGAATGTTCTCAATTCTTCTCTTTTTTTTTTTTTTTTTT